AAATTCACTGAGAGAGAGGATCAACAATTACACGAAAGACAAAAGCTATATATAGGGTCAAACTAAAACCCTTCTAGTCAAAGTCAAACTAACAAGGAAAGTCAAACACGATGTTTATACAATTATAGACATTTATTATTTTCAAGACGAATACAATTTAACACAGAAATTCAGACCCAACAGTACCATTATATGAAACACCAAATGTTGTAATTCATTTACAACCGCATCAATGTCATCCACACAAATTTTGATACCCTTTCATATTTTTTAATTTACAGTCACGCATTACATGGTTTCACTGTTTGCTTCCATTAATCATTTTATGGTGAAACTATTTCATAATGTTTAAGTTTAAAAAATTCTAGGAAACAAGGAAACTACATTAGCAAAAAAAATTTTGCATCAATGTCATCCATAAAAGTTTTGCAACGTGAACAAGTTTCATTAAATTTGTATCTATATACCATACCATACAAATTCATAACCATTAAATGGAACAAGATCATCCAAAAAAATCGAAGATACGAAACAATTTCATCAATAAAGGTTGATAAGATCAAACAAATGAAATAAATACGAACGTTCCCTAACAAATGAAACCAATCTAATTCGAATAACTAAACCGTTATTTCGTACCATCGCCGTTAGACGGACAATTGCGAGAATCATGCCAACCCATTTTCTCACAAGTTCTGCACAATCTTTTTGGTTTCTTTGCATTGATGGATGCCCTCTCTGACATACCAACAAGACGCTTCCCGGTCCCACAACCTCTATTACGTATCCCGGTTGGCGGTAACATATCAACTGATTCAGGTTCAGAAACACACAAGAGCTTCTGAATCTCATTTCTCTTCTGTTCAATACCTGTCAATATAGGAACATCGATTGAAATTTCATCACCCAACTGTTCCAATTGTTCCAAAAACTTTGTCAATGAATTCTTATCATTGCGTACATGCCCAATAATAAGATCAAACATTGATACAACGTGGTTGATCATAACTTGCTTCTCCAACATCCATTTCACCAAACCTAGCACGAGCCGGCAACAACTCAACGGGAACTAACTCTCCTCTCCATCGCGGCAAAATGTATTTCTCAGGAATAGATTGCACATCAGAATTTAACATTACCTTAAACGCGTGGCGACATAATATACCATTGCGAACAAAATGGTTGCAACTACAATCAAAAGACTCTTCCCTTATATCATGAACCACCTAGCGTATCATAAAACAACGAAAGAAAAGTTAGAGACAAATATTATGAACTCCGATTCTAATCAATTAATGTCAAAATAAAATCGAAAAATTGATCTTGACCTTGTACGTAGCTTTAACCTCAGAATTCCTGTTCTTATGCGTAATACTGTATATCATCTTATCACCGACCTCTACGACGTCGACAACCCCACATAACCATACTGTCTTGTTCATTTCAATTTGTACATAAAAAAATCGTTTTCGTGAACAATTTCGCTGCTTGCGCTTCAATTTTAGACGGTGATAACAATCTAGGTATCGTAGTTCTAGTAGCAACCTCGAGGGAACAATGTTCTTTCCTTTGACTTTCGATTGCATCGTCGAAAGTGTTAAGAAAATAAACAAGATCATTCCAATACTTCGTATAAACATTTAAAAAATGTGTTAATACTCTCAGACCAGGAAGTCGTTTTCATCAGACCAGACATAGGATAGTTCTTGAAGCCGGAATCCAAGATTTTCTTATTGCATACATTTATTCAAACCATGAGTGACCGCGTAAGCCATACTCATCCATCATTGCATTCCATTTTTCCTCAAAAATTTCAGGACCTATGTGGACATTCCATACGAGCTTGTTGAATTCGCTTTTGAACGGGGTGCTATGGGCTAAATAATCATTAATCTACACGGTGAAACAAGCACACAATCAAACAATAAACAAACCCTTGTATACATATGACATATTTTGGAATTTTTTTTTCAGATGAAACATATCTATACTATATTGTAAAGCATTTGACAAAAACTCTTAAAAAACCATTTTTTATGCGTAAAGTATTGTTTATTAATGCATATTACTTAAAACTTTAGATTACAAGTAAATTGTGTGTAAGTACAACTTTTTAAAGCTCCATATCTGAATTCGTGTAACTAACTGCAGATAAACAAAATCAAATACAGAATAAACATTTCATTTTAAATATAAAAAATCTAAAATATAATTAGGATAATCATTGAGTTCTAACAGAATACTTAATTATTATTTTTATCAAAAACTAGAAGATATTCGCACAATGCAGATACATATTCATTTTTAATGTTTCGTTTTATTTTTTTTCTTTGTTGATATAATATAGTTTATGTAGTTTTGAGAAAGATAATGTTTTTACTATTGAATAAAAAGAAATTTGAAGACATCATAAAAATTTTAACAAAAATATATCGATATTAATATCAAATTAACCATTTAAAAGTTCTTGTTTTTTATATAACTTATTTAATTTATTTTTTATTATAATTTAGTTTATGTCAAATAGTGAAGTAATTTATTTTTGACTTAACATTTAAATTTTTATTAAGATAATGATTATGTTAGAACTCGATAATCATCCTAATTATATTTTAAAATGAGATGTTTATTCTTTCTTTAATTATGTTTATCCGCAGTTAGTTACACGAATTTAAACATAGAGCTTTAATAAGTTGTACGTATGCATAAGTTACTTGTAATTTTGAATTTTAAGTAATATCCATCAATATATAGTAGTTCATGCATAAACATTGCTTTTTAAGAGTTTTTGTCATATGTTTTATGATATAGTATAGATTATATTATTAAACAAAAAATAAATTACTTTATTATTAAATCTAAATTAATATATAATAAAAATTTGAATTAAAGAAGTTACATCAAAAAAACTAGAACTATTAAATAGTTAATTTGATACAAATATCGCTTTATTTTTTTTCAAAATTTTATGTTATCTTCAAATTTATATTTCATTCAAAAAAAAAACATTATCGTTTTCTCAAAACCACATAAAATTGTATTATATCGATAGAGACAAAGCATAAAAACTACACATTAAAAAACGAGATTTATCTCGCTGCATTGCGCAAGTACCCTTCTAATATATATATATATATATAGAGAGAGAGAGAGAGAGAGAGAGAGAGATATATATATATATATAGAGAGAGAGAGAGAGAGAGAGAGAGAATCATGTTCATATGAGAAAAATAACCAAATAAGAAAACACGAAAATGGTGATCACATGTGCTTTTACATTAAAATCACATCACATGTGATTCACACGACTTTGTCCGCAACTAAAGGTCAGACCCCAAGTCATCTACTTATTTTTCATTAACTGTTATCCATAATCACATGTAAATTCATTTATGATTTGGCCTGTTTTGAAGTTCTCGTTTGATCCCCCATCTCTCTCTCTCTCTCTCTATATATATATATATATATGTGTGTGTGTGTGTGTATGTGCTTAATTGTGATTATAATTTCTTATTTTGTTCAAACAAAAACTTTCTTTTTTCCTTTTCTAATAAAAAAATTATATTGATTTTTATTCTTGATTTATAATAAACTTTGGAGTAAATTACATTTTTTGCTCTTGTGGTTGTCACCACTATCAAGTTTGATCTCTCTCTAAAGCTAATTAGAGTTTTTATCACAATGGTTTTCATTTTGTTTCACTTTTGATCCCTCTAACTAACTCTAATTAAAAATATTAGTTAACTTAAGGAATTTTTCATTACTACTTAGATGCTTTCAGCAGTTATCCGCTCCATTTTCTTTTGATTCTAATTAATCAGGAAGAACTTAATGACAGGACATCAAATTTTTTGAAATGAGAGAGAAATCCACCAGGACAAAAATACTATAGATGCAAGATATAAAATAGGAGTGAATTTTTAACTAGAGTTAGTTAGAAGGATTAAAAGAAACAAAATGACAACCAGAAAGACTAAAACTGTAATTAACTTTAAAGATGAATCAAACTTAATAATGAATAACACTAGAACAAAAAATTTAATTTACTCTTGTTGGTCCCAAAAGGGTCTACAAGAATACTAAACAGTTTGTAGAAGGGGGGGGATGAATACAAACACAATTTTCAAATTTAAAATATATATTGATAAA